TTAAATTAAAACATTTTGACATTTGGACTATATAATTGGGAAACTGAATTGGCGTAGGAGTTACAACAACGATGGCTTTAGCGGTGACATCTGACACGCAAATGACGTCAATGGAGCGAGTCAATTAATTAAACTGTAGTTTGTGGATTCGAGTGCCTACAGAACCTTTGACCTATCTTTTCTCAATTACACTGATTGATGGAAGTTTAATTATATATCTAGGGAATATCGTCTCCAGTTTGTTATTCTACGACAATTATCATATATTTATTATTGAAAAAATTCTACTGCACCTAATTATAAATGTGAACTAGCCACCTCATTTAAATGAGCTATCTTTAATGTGTTTAATGTCTTCATTGTCTTGAGTGGTACGAAAAACTTTCCATAGAGAAAATTGTCTTCTTCCGTGTATCATACGGAAATGTGGCAAAAGAACGACCTTCAACTTCTGCATGTTTTAAAATTATCAAAAGCAATAAAGTTTTTTAAAGTACTCGGACTAAGTAGAACATCCTGTATAAAATATGAAAGTTTCAAAAAATGGTAGATTAGTAATGAAGTCATTGACATTTATTTTACTTTCTTTTTCTTTCTATGTATATTTAAACTATTATATCATCTTTTCTTTATTTTCAAATTAAATGATTCTTTTTCTACGATAAACGACACATGTTTACTTTAATCTTTTGGTCTCATTTACGGCAATGCAGGCTTTGTGGAATACGAGAGAATGTACTATACAAACAAAATTAATTTATGTAAGAAACCATAATAGTAGCTGAAGTTATAGGATGATTCACAATTAGACTGCGGATTATATGCATGTATAGCATATACGACTATGTGAAATATGATAAATGGTAAAGTTAACATCAGATCTAATACATATTCTGTCTTATTCTTGTCATATTAAAATCCTTAAGAAATGAAAGAAAATCGAATCTTTGCATCGTCTTTACAAATCACTTTGAAAAATGTTATTTTGCATAAAATTCCGCTGTCTACTCATAAGTAGAATAAGTCTGACGGCAAGTGTTCAGGAATAGCCGCTAAGTCCACTTATTCGGTTTGAACGATCGTGCAGTGGTCTGAACTGTTATACCATAATCCACTTCCTTGAGGATTACAAAAGTTTCTTAGCCTCCTATTCACTTCACCAGAAACAGTGATAAATCATTTTTCTCCCTGTATGAACTTTTTCCAGGATATATCGGTAAATTAAATCTTCGACCTGTTTTCCACATAACTTTACCTTTGTGGAAAAAGTGTGAATGTTTAAATTAACACATCCAGAAGAATATTATACGTTACATATCTCGTATAAATGTGTACACCTTTTAAACACCTCTAGAGATGTATGGTATAAAGCAAATAAATGAAAATTATAACAGTTTCATAATTACGTTAATATAAAGGATTCAACTTTCTTCCTCTAATTTTTTACGTCGCATCAACTACCACAGGTTATTAGCGATAACAATGTTCAGTTATATTAGACTTGTAATACAATTTCTTTGTAGTGTAATTTCTTTGAGGAATTGGAGCAGTAGACGTATTCTTTAATGGTTAGAGAAGTTCTCTTGTAATGTTGATTTTTCGTCGTAATATCGAATACTTAGTACCGTGTATAATTACATGGTTGTCAGTTATTTCTACGTTACATTTGTTACAAATCGGAGAACTATTTTTCGAGAGCAAATGAGAATGGGATATTCGCGTGTGTCTAATTTTGATTCGGGAAAATTCAATTTGTTACTTTCTTGTTAGGTCTGATGGTGTATTCTCCTGAGTTTAATGGTGCTATTGCGATTGTCTAGATATGTGGTGGTGCTCTATTTGTCCATTCAGTTTCCCACATAATATTCAGTCTTTTCAATGTGTATTTTTGTAGATCCATTAGAAATGTATATACCGAATGTTTCCAAAATTGTGGTACAATCAAGAAGGTGATTCCTCAACTCAAAATAAGTCAAAAATATACAATAAAATTTGTTCATATGTAGCTTCGTTTTCGGGAAAATCGAGTTTGAAGATTCACCTAAAACGAGTGTATTCGTGCTAGCAATAAGTAGAAACGGAATGTAATGAACAGACGCACTAGGCAAGTCCTATTCAATCGCACGCGTATCCGCCAGATTTTGGAATTCGATTCTCTTGAAAATGAAGCATCACACGAGAAAATTTTATTCTATATCTTCCACTTATTATACCATGAAGAATCACCTCCTTCCTGGTTGTATCACCATTTCAGAAACACCCTGTATAACCCAAATAGCACAAAAATGTATTATGTACGTCCGGAGGGTGTACGTTCCAGACGCTTTGTGCATTCGAAGGATGTCCCGAAAAAGTCTATATGTCCCCGTTAGGTCCTCGTTAAGATCTTTAAATGTCCTAGAAAGGTCCTATTCACTAAGTGGAACGTTCTCAGGACGTCCTGTGTCAACATTCTCAGAACGTTTTCCGAATGTGTAAAAGTAACATTCTCTGAACGTTTTGGGAACGTTTAAAGAGTTTTTAGAAAGGCTATAGTAATGTCTAAAAGACGTATAAGAAACGCTTCCTAAATGTTTAAAATTACGGTTAGATTTCATTCTGTGCAAGGTGATAGAAGGTAGGTTAGGTTGGTTTGTGTTTAATAAATAAAAGATTAACTTTCCTGCGATTTCCACACTTAGTAGAAATTAGATCACGTTAGTTCCTGTTAATAAATAAAAGGTTAAGTGTCCTAAGGAATTATAATGAAAATATATATCTGGGGGTTATTATCTGTGTGTTTATTTTAATTTTCAAAGCAAAGTACTGATTCTGTGCAGGTTAGAGACAGTTTAAGAAAAAAATATTTCTTCAAGTTTTTTGAAGTTTCCGCATAAACCCACTAGTGTCGTTGCACTTTTCTATTGATTCTCTAAAGTATGATACCTTGCTCACGAGGTTCCATCACCTTGCACAGAATGACATTGAACCAAAATTACTAAACGACACCATCCGAAATTTAAATCCTACGGACATTCGTAAGACTTAAGAAACGGGCAGTCCTAGAACATGCGAAATTTAAGTCTTGAGAACATCCGTAGGACTTTCGGGATGGACGTTTCTAGAAATCTGAAATTTAAGTCTTACGAGCATCCTAGGGATGTCCAAAGTGGGCGTAGGACATTCGGATATAAACTTGACATGAAACGGACGTACGTTGGATGTACGATGCTATCTGGGAAGTAATTTTATAGGCCATGAATTCACATTTAAGAGCTATGAAAGAAAATGTTTTATTACGTAAAAAAGAAAAGGAAGATATTGTGGGAGGGGAAAGTTAGAATTTCATTTGTCACATTACGATTAATTATCACTGATTGTACAATATTTCTGATCTCTGTTTTTTCAAATATTCTCAATTCTTTGCTACTCAAATGATTGTGGATGGTGAAATGTGAAATCCTCGACCTCATTAAGATGTAGTATAAGTTTGACTCCGACCTTTTTGGACACCCTGTGTATATATCTTTCTTTCACCCACAATTGCTTTAACCCCTTATTCCTCAAAGATCTAGTACGTTAGAGCAGATCTGCTATTAGATTCGGATTCAGCAGACACAAATCTTTAAGGAGAAATAAAAATTTTTCAAATGAATGCACCAAAATTTTCTTGCATATCAGCGTTATTTTTTCAATGAAACGGTAATAAACACACTGCGTCTAAAACGGTATAAACTTCTCGAAAGATCTATTGTATGGCATGTTTATGCAATAAAATAAAAGTTTTGACAAAAAAGAAAGGCGGTACAACTCTATGAATATCGCGAACCTTGATCTCCCTACGGTAAATATTATCCTGCCTCTCGTGGCGCTGGTAACGAGATCGTATCTGACGCCGTTGCGTGTCATTTGCATATTTCAGCCGGAGGCGTTCGGCAGATCCTTGCTTTTGGCAATCCGGAATGCACGAGGGTTGCTGAACCACCGTTCGATTTACATTTCAGTATCGAAAGCACGGTCCTACCCTTGAGGTGATGTACGAGGAAAATGATAAAAGCAACGAACGTTGCATCAATTTTTTTGCGAACATTTAATTGACGCTGATGATGATTGAACGCCACTTTGTATCTGACAATGGGATAGATAGTTTTTAATGGTATAACGCATGGAATAAATGAGTATTTGAAACGAGATCTGTTTTCATTTGACAACATTTTGATGGAGCTAAACGACAGGGATAAATTTAATATTACTTATAGTTTTTTGAAGGAATAATTTGTTGAACTAAATAGTCCATACTTTATTATTCAATACACTGGTGTAATATTATTTTCAATTTTAATAAATACTGACTGTTTCCAATAATGATTATATGTATCTTCAATAATTGCGAATTACAATTTTTACATAATTACAATAATTATAATTATGATGTAACAAAATTTTTATCTCTTGATGAAATTATTTTGCAGTAGCTTACAAAATCAAACTAAAACTGACATTATACGATTGAACAATAGTTTAGTAATGTATTAAAATTTACAAAGAAGGTTTAATAAAGGAACAATACAAAACTTATTTAAAAACATTAATTAAATAGAGTGTAATTAGAATTGAAGAATAATTTACACAAACTATTCTGCAATATTTAACACAATCTTCTTACTATTTTTTTACTGTGTTAATTAAAATAGTAGACTAATAATTAAATATATTTTAACTCAACAGATTTATTTATACCTTCAATTTATTTCTTTTTTCGCGAAAAAGTGTGGTTGTAGGAGATTATATATCGCAGAAAAGTTGTGAATTATCGTGAGATAGATTGGAACATACTATTTTGATGTAGTTAAATTACAATAGAATGTATCATAGAATTTTCCACACACACACAAGGAGTTAAATATTTCCATGATTAACTCTAATTAGGTACGTACGTGGCAATTGGACCAAGGTAAATATCGAAACAATCGTCTTCTATAAGTTTTTCTTGGTACATAATAAAGACTGTCATGACTTACCGTGACAGGGCATGGCGAGGCGTCCCTGGAGAGACTGCCGAGAGTCACCAATAAACGACGCGAGGCCCCCAACACTGAGTCTCGCCATCCCTCTGAAAGAATAAACAGAGAAAGAAAATGTAGATCATCATATATTACGCGTTTACTAATTATAAATATTTTAGTAAAACAATAGAACCTCCCGTATACGAATACCCTAATGTTCAAATGTTCTGTTATCCGAACAGAATATCCCTCAGCAAAACTATGTATTCTCCTGTTGCAAATATCATACAATATTGCTTACATACAATGTACATATACTTTTTTCTGTTTGATCGCATTCACAATAGATATGGGAGCCATATAAATATTTAAACAAACATGAATTTGTTTTATCTCGATTTGAAGAGAAATGAAGTTTAGTATCGGAAAGGTGATTGTTATATTATCCGAAAATTCCTTCATTCAAATACTTATGTCTCTCTATTAGATCGGATACGGAAGGCTCTATTATATTTTATTATAAAATAAAAATTGTTATAATTTCCAATGTTTCAAGATTTTCGCTAAAATGGCCATATTGATTGCACATTTTGTACTTAATTATAAGAGATAAATTCGAGACTTGTTTTTTAAACGCTCCTTTGTATTAATATATTGTTTCATAATTCGATTTAAAATTAGTCTTCAACATTTACTCAAAGCTTTTATTTAGATAAGTAACACATTCACTCAACATTATTTGAAAGGTACCTGCTTTTAATCAAACATTAGGTACTCATGAAAATATTAATTTTATAAGATTAATTTCGTCAACACTTTTTACATAATTTAGTATGCATGTATGACACCCTGTATGACATTTTTCATTCACAATAAAGCATTAATGAGCCAGAGATGTTTTTCGGTTTCCTCTGAAACACTTTCCACCCGACTCACTGCTTGTATATCGTTTGTATTATCAACTATTATTAGTTCGAATATTGTTATCGCGTTGAATATTCACTACGGTGCGGCATAATGTGAATAACAAAGCAGAATAACGGGACTGGGATGAGCTGCGAGAGGGTGAGCAGCAAGGGGTGGTTTCACATTGTTAGATTAAGCGTTCAACTTCCACCTTCGACTCTGCCTCTGTTTCCTTCGACGATGTCTTAAGCCCAAACGTCCTAAGTTATAGTCCTGACTTTCATTAAACGGCTTGATGACGGATCGCTCTTTGTCTCGTTTATATTACAGCTGGCGATGAAAATGGATTTAATCACAGGAACGGCGCTCGGCGTTCGGTGTTTAGCAACCCTGATACTAACACCAATCCAGAATATTTCATCGTTTTTTCCGGAGTTGTAACGTCATGGGATCGTTGTACGTGACGACAAAATTAATTCGCGCAACGGAGTTTGATTATTTATTATTTGTGCATTCGTAGTTATTAATTTGTTACGTATGACATAGTTAGTTTCTCAAAGATAGAAACAATATACATTTGCATGTTTATTTGAATTGTTCATTAGATGACTGTTTTCTTTTTGCAAAATAAATTAATTTAGAAAAATGTTCGTTTCGCGATCTTTACATAAAGTGCATAATACAGCGGTAATGTGTTAAAATTTCATATACCATAACAATTTTTCGATATTATTTTAAATGCGTGAGGTCTTGCATGATTTTATAACAAAATGTGTCCTTGATTGACTAAAATAAATTCTTTTCTCTACTAAATATAAATCTATTCGTTCTGACTATATTGTTTTCTACTGAATACTCAGATATAATTAACATTAATGCGTATTGATGAATTCAAGGCTTTATTGGCAAGATTTTTAATTTACTAAGTCAGCCTTTTACGGATGATTAATTCCTCGAAAACACGTTTTATCGTTAAAAACTACATAAATAAATGTTAAAAACTATTGAAGAATTTGTTCAAGCTTGTTGTAAAATAAAGGCTGTGCAGATTGAAATAAGAACGAAAATACAAGAAACAGTCGAACGAAATATAGCCTATAAAATTGATTTAAACATATTATGCTTACATCGAATTTTATCGTTATTACGAATAAACTCTAACCAGGAAGTTACTAATTCGTAATAATGGTAAAGTTCTTTCGGAAATGGAAACCAATTTTTCAAAGATATTCTTCAAGGCAGACCAGAAATGAGAAAAATAAATACGACAATATAGAGAACAGTTTTTAGACTTTATTCATGCTTCCTCTTTAAACTGCAATGAAATTGCTTTGCTTTTATCATGAACAATCGGCAGCCAGAGAATTCGTAACATGTACATAATGATAATAAAGTAACAGGATAAAGTTCACCGCGAAAAAGAAGGATACGGTGGCAGCGTTACCCACGAGACGGCCACCGTATTAATAAATCTCAATTACGCGAGTTAATACCGGGGGCAATTCTCTCCCCTAGGCCTGACAAGGAACCGGATACGAGGGTGAAGGCATTTCTATCGGGGCATTGTCAGCATTGTCGCTGGAACAATGACGATGACTATTCTCTGGAACCGCCTTCGCTTGTAAAACCGTCCGCAATGTCGCTCAAAATTTATCGTCCTTTCCTGATGGCTCCACACTTGCTGATGGTATTCAATACCAACTGTTTAACATCCCTTACACGTTCATCGCCACTTATTAACTCCTGTTTAATCGTATGTCTGAAATTTTCTTTCAAGTTTTGTGAATTTTTTTATGTTAACGTTCTAATACTTTTGTATATGTACACGCAAAAGTAATGACCGTTTTTTTCGCCAAAACCCTTTATTAACATTGAACATTTGTTACAGTACCTGTTACTTGAAGTAGTTGCCCTTATTTTCTCTAAACTTTGCTATTTAGATATTTGTTGTCGCAACCTACTGCAAGAAGGTGACGGCCGCAACGATCGTAGCGTCTTGGGCCGACCGTACGATTGAAAAACCGTCGTAAACGGGAATTTCTAGACAGCTGCACATCATATGCAAAATACTTAATCCTCAGAAACAGTTATTTATTCTAGCTCGACGCTGATTTTTAGTAATTCCAAAAAACAATACATAAGCCCAGCTCCACTTTTTTATCTGATACTAGCCCAGCTATACAACATACATCAACCGAAATTCTGTATTTCCGCCACCATACACACAACCAATCCCAAGCCGATCAGTAGCAACAAGCGAATACGAATATAATTTCCAGACAGAGCACATTCAATCGTCAACGCGAACATATATACATGGTGTAACAAAAATGTTGTCCGACCCGGAAATGGGGCACTCAGGGGGTGAATTGGAACAAGTTTTTCCTTAGCAACAATCTAATCTGAGGCTTCGTTAGCGAGATATTAACGAAAAACCTCGACCAATCAGAGCGCGAGTTTGCCAGTTGAGTTCCCGCGCTAGCGGTGGCTACGCGCTGCGACTTGTAGTCAACGCTACCGCGGGAACTCGGCTGGCAAACTCGCACTCTGATTGGTCGGGGTTTTTCGTTAATATCTCGGTAACGAAGCCTGAGATTATATTGTTACTAAGGAAAAACTTGTTTAAATTCACCCTCCGAGTGCCCCATTTCCGGGTCAGACAACATTTTTGTTACACCCTGTATACAGGGTCTCTCAGCTAACTTGATCATCTCGAATAATAACAATCGGCACTCGACCGGCAGATTCGCGCTCTGATTGTTCGGGGTTTTTCGTTAATATCTCGTTAACAAAACCCCGGATAACATTTTTGTTACAGAGAAAGTAATTTCAAATCATCCCAGGAACCTCTCGTTTCCGGGAGTCGAAGCTATTTTGGGACACCCTGTATATTGAGTATATTACTATAGTATGCAATTTACTTCAGTATACATTCAGTGCTGGTAGTTCTAGTGTTAAGGTACTTGGGTTAAATAAAGCTTAATTTAAAACAGTAAGATTCATCAATTTAGTAAACAGAAACAAAGAAATAGCAAATAAACGTTTAAGCCTAGCTCCAAGTATTATACAACGTTGACAGGCTGAAGTTGAAGTATCTTTTAAACTAATCATTTCGCATCACTCGAAACCATATAGGTTTTCCTAATGAAATTTTTGTCTACCTTCTACCGTTTTAACGCTATAACTTGGCCTAGTTGCGTGGGTCACCCTCTCAAATAGCACAAAAACGTCCTATGTACGTCCGATGGACGTAGGTTCCAGACGTTCTGTACATTCGGAGGACGTCCCGAGAAGGTCCATATGTCCCCGTTAGGTCCTAGTTAAGATCTTTAAATGTCATAGGAAGGTCCTATTTACAAAGTGGAACGTCCTGAGGACGTCCTGTGTCAACATTCTGGGAACGTTTCCCGAATGTATAAAAGTAACATTCCTTATACGTTTTGGGAACGTTTAAAGAGATTTTTAAAACGCTATGGTAATGTCTTAAAAGACGTATAAGAAACATTTTCCAAATATTTAAAATTACGGTTTGGTTTTATTCTGTGCATGGTGACAAGAATTAGGTTAGGTTGGTTTGTGTTTAACAAATAAAAGAATAACTTTCCTGCGATTTCCGCACTTAGTAGAAACTAATAGATCTAGTTAGTTTCTGTTAATAAATAAAAGGTTAAATTTCCTATAAAGAATTATAATAAAAATATAGGTCTGGGGATTATGATCTCCAAGTACATTGTGTTTATTTCTATTTTCACAGCAAAACTCTGAATCTGTGTTGGTTAGAGACAGTTTAAGAAGAAACATGTTTTTTCAGCTTTTTTAAGGTATTTTCACAAAACCACTAGTGTCGTTACACTTCTCTATTGATTCTTTAAAGACTGACACCTTGTTCATAAAGTTCCATCACCTTGCACGGAATGACATTGGCAAAAATACTAAACGAAACCATCAAAAATTTCAGTTTTGAGAACATTCGTAGGACTTTTGGGATGGACGTTTCTAGAACATACTAGAACATACTAGAACATACTAGAACGTTTCTAGACATTCGGATATAAACTGGACATGAAACGGACGTCCTTAGAATGTACGGTGCTATCTGGGCTGTACATAGAAATTTTCAACCAGAGAAGAAATGTATTTGTATTGTAAAATTCTGGATTCAAGCTCGAGAATGAGAATATCATTTGGGCACCTCCTTCAG